AAATCACGCAGTCAATTTCACAACGACTCGGCCAGCCGGTGAATAAGCCGGGGGTGGTAAGAGCACCTTTTTTTTTCCTTCTTTTTTTCCCCGAAAATATGAAATTTGGGAGACCGATATTTTGTTCAGTTGGTGGGGGGTAAGGTCACCTTTTTTGGGTCACCCTTTAACACAAAAAATGTTTAATTTATTTTTGTTATTAAAAAAGTGAGGGGGGGGGGTTTCCTCAAAAACACACACACACATAGTCTAAACAAAATTGGAGGAGGGGGGGGGGGGGGTTCAACCCCCGAAACTCCCTCCCCCCTGCATACACGTCTGCTACATGATCTAGTGTTGAAGAAGTGATGAGGGTTCTTTGGTCTCAAACTTAAATTTGATTTTCTTTTCCCTTTTATTTATCAGTTGCAGCATCATCGAACACTATGACCCATGAATCAGAAGATAACGTAGATGCTACGAGAGAGCTCATTTCACAATGGACAACAGAAGTGTTACGTGACTTTCTACAAGGAGGGGACTCAAGCTTGGAAATCGAGTACCAGTAGTCATTATTTTATGGGTGTTCTCTGCCTTGACTCTGGGGGTACTGTTCAGCCATCCGAGGTAGAGATAAACTGGACGATGGATGGAGAGGGGGGGGGGGGGGGGGGGGGGGGGAGAAAGGCATGCAGACTGCACAGCTGGTCGTCTACTATGTATAGAGACATTTGTGTGTACCTAGTAGGTAAGGACCCTCCATCACTAGAGGGAAGAATGAGAGACTACAAAGAGGGAAAGGCATTTAGTTATTTTGCCAGTTTCTGGTTAAGGAGATATTTTTTTCATCTCGTGGGAGAAAGCTGTCTGTAATTCAAAATCATTTGATACTTGAATAAATTTAGTTCATTTTCTAGACTGTTTCATGTCAAACCGTTGATTCTACTTTCTTGTGAGTATAGTCAGAGAGATAAAGAAGTAACACGAGTAAAGAATGAAAAAGAAGCTAATATTTGAACGAGGAGGAGAAAATGGAGATTACGTTGTTGCCCATAGAGTTGGAATAATTGTTCTTACCACTTTTTATTAAATGATTGTGACCATTTGGTTTATTGTTTGTACATAAAGGTCATATGTTATAAGAACTGTATTGATCAATCTAAAGAGTCTTATAGATTGATTAATACAGTTTTGAGATGATGATGATGATTGTGATGATGAACGAGAAGGAGAAGAGGAGGAACATATCATGAGTTGATGGAGAAAAGATTGATAGAGGGGTTATCATTACAGAGAGAGAGAAAGAGAGATGGACTAACATGAGGAAGGGAGAGCAAGAATGGAGGCTATGACATAGGGGAAGAGATAGAAATCAAAATTATATTTATACTAACATTTACTAAATTAGAATAGTAAATTAGAAGATAAAGCTAAAGGAAAGAATGCAAACTAAAATTAAGCTAAGACCATCACAATATCGTTTACATTATAATATAAATTAAGTAAAGGTACATGGAAACGTGTACATTTGTAAAATTTAATCTCTTGTTCTCTTAGATCTTCCTCTTCACACCTAATTCTTGCTCTCCCTCTCTATCTCTCCCTCCCCTCTCTGTCTCTTTCTCTCTCCTCTCTCCTTATTATCACTCTTTCTCTTTCATTATTAAGCGTCGACATCTCTCTCGATGCCTCTCTCTGTTTCTATGATTTTTCTCTCGTTAAATATTTAAAACATCAGGTCTGTCTGACCTTCCTCTCTTGAATAAATCATGAATAACTTCAACTCGGCGTCCTACATACAGTAATGATTGCTTAGTACTCATCTACAACCTTCTCTGTGTTGTTTTATTTTATTGATAAAATAAATATAACCATGAGATGAATACAAGTTAGATCAATATCAACAGGTTTAATGCAATGCATATAAGTTGACATCTTATGAAGAAGTAGTACCACCCCCGCCCCCCCCCCCCCTCCAGGAACGGGAACGGAGGTACCGCATGCGTGTTCCCAAAATCTCTGGCTCGTAACAAAGAAAAAGATCTGCCCGTATTGACTTTACACACTGGACTTTTGCTGAGAAGGGGGGGGGGGGGGTACCACCTTTAATGCAAACACATTTAAAGGGATCGGGTAACTTACTCTCAGATTCTGAAACAAAATCCTGGATTTAGCTCATGCTGCAATGATAAATTTAGGTCAGTCAGGAACTCAATGACTTTTACAATCCGTTCGCCTGTCTCATTATCAAGATATTTACGATTGGAAATCGAAACCAAATTTTGTGTTTGCCAAACGGTTTTCATAACACTACAGTTTATTGGGGAAAACGAGTATGGTAAAAGGGGTCAAACAAAGATTTTTACTTTTTAGAGGCACTTCTTGATCATTTTGATGCACAATTTTGTTAGGGCTTTAGTATTAATACACCATATCACAGACACTGGTAGCACGTAGGGCCATACGTCCATCTCGGTTTAAACATTGTTATACATTGTTAAACAATGCATTTTACAATACCTTTACAACATACACCATACACCATTTGCTGTCACATGGTTTGGAAATCACATTACAGATAATAATTCTACAACTGTGAGGTTTCACCTGTCGTCATTTGATACCCGAAGGAACACTTTTTTAGGGGCTAAATCTAATTTTTTCACAAGGCAAAATAACTATATGCCTTCCCCTCTTTGTAGTCTCTCATTATTTTTCCCTCTAGTGATGGAGGGTCCTTATCCAGTAGGTACATACAAACATAGTAGGCCAGTTCTGCATGCCTACCCCCACCCCCCCCCCCCCCAATCCATCCATTGTCCAGTTCCTCACAGTGTCTACCTCGCATGGCTGAACAGCTACCGCGTCAAGGCAGAGAACACCCATAAGATAATGACTACCGGTACTCGATTTCCAAGCTTGAGTCCCCTCCTTGTAGAAAGTCACGTAACACTTCTGTTGTCCATTGTGAAATGAGCTCTCTCGTAACATCTACATGCACGTTATCTTCTGTTTCATCGGCCGTGTTCGATGATGCTGCAACTGATAAATATAAGGGAAAAGACAATCATATTAAGTTCGTGACCACAAGAATGATTGTAACAAAAGAATCCTTATCACTTCTTCAACACGTAGATGCTCAAGTTGAGCTCATCGATATCAGAATTTATATCCAGATCCAGATCGACAAATCTATCATTTTCATGGCCTCTTTTACTTTTTTACACTTAATTGCAATCACTATCTAAATGTCAGCCATTCTAGTAGACCCTATTCCATTATCAATTATAGGATCTAGAAAGTCTATTAATATTTCATGAGACATAAATCTCATATTACTGTACATTTCTACCTAAAACACGAGACGAGTGTACTTAAGCAGCTTAAAAGACAATCAGTCTACTTAAAATGCACACACATTTGAACATACGGGACTAGATCTAGAATCTAGGCCTACATTTACTAAAGTTGGATCTCGGCCCACTCTCATTACGTCGTATTATCAGCTTTATTAGTCATAAAAATGAATAACCACAAACTTTGGTTTCTTACCGTACAAATGATACTGGATTGGAAGAAAATCACGGCAGAATAGCGGACTATGTACAAGATTATGATGTTGATTCGATACGAATCCCGTTGTTTGCAACAGGACAGCTGATCACGGCGAAGGTGAAAATGGACTAGAATTATGTCCCGGCATGCTTTGCGATGAAACAACCGTGAAGGCACGTATAGCAAAAAAGATAGTCCATGGTTTAAACTTGGTTTAAACCAAGGCTTAAATACGTCATAGTTCGGCCTAACTTTAGGCCGCTCAGAGGGCAGGTTTAAATACGTCATAGTTCGGCCTAACTTCGCGTGACGTCACTTTTTAGTTAAATCGACTGTCCGCGGAGAGTGAACGGTAAGTTTTGCATTTGAATTTCTATATTTGATAACAATTTACACTCTTATGTATGGATAAGCGCTCATGAAAGTTACACCAGCTAATAAAGTATTTTTGTTACTTTCATGTTGCTGTACTGGTGATAATCTAAAATGCTTTTAACTGAATAAATTTGGGGGAAACTTGATAAATGTTCACAGTGTTCGCAGAGCAGTCCCATACGTGCAAATAATTGTCGGTTAACATTTTCATTTCCTGAGATTGAGCAATTTCTTACCGGGTAATTTTTTTCTTGGCACTATTGTACTTTCGTACGCTTATACCACCTTAACATCACCTTAAAAATATCATTGCTAGACGTAGAAACTACTTTTATAGTGGATTTTCGAGACGCTGTTGCCTAAAAGTGGACTAGCACTAGGCCTAAATCTAGATCTAGCTGTCTCTTTCGTTCGTTAGCCTCTGATTTGGTCGGCTCCTCTCTTTCAGGTGCCGACCCTACCCAAATCAGAGGCTAACGAACGAAAGAGACAGAAATTTCGGTCTGGTATCACCTCTGCCTGAGCTGCAGTGCTAGTTGTGGCTGTTGGTGCGATCATTTCCTACAGGATGATGATGATTTTCATAACCACCCCCAAGAAAGCATTTAAAAAAAAAAATGTTAGGCCTAGTAGTAGTACTAGACCTAACAAGTTAGACCTCTAGCCGGCTCTAGACTAGAAATCTTAATTTCATCAATAAGAGTCTGGTCTAGACAGGTCTAATACAAATCGAAAGGAAATGGACAGAAGCTTCCTTTTTTTGACATAGGTCTACATTTGCTGATAATGTTACAGTAGTTTAGGCTTATAATACTTGTTAGTAAACTAGACGTCTACAGAGAAATTGTAATTTCTTATCAAATATCAACATATTTTTTCATCTTGATTTTCTGCTATTTCAGGTTCTTTTCAATTGATGCATGGGGATGGAGAAAAAAAGGCCTCTCCCAAGCTATGGTATCCCGCCTTGTGAAGTCCATCTCAATAGCCATTGCCAGGAGATGGGAGCAATACATCACAATTCCTTCAGCAAGAGAGGCAGTCCTGCAGAGTGCAGACCCAACATGAATTGTATAATTACTACCATTTCCCTGGCGTTAATATGGTCGGGGCTATTGATTGCAGCCACATAGGCATCTCCAAGCCAGTTGGCCCAACACCAGTTATTTCCTGAACAGGAAAAAATAGATACTCCATTTTTCTTGGAAAGTCTGCTGGTGAGTAAAGCTGTAATTACGCCTAAATTTTGTAAACCAAATCATGTTTATACAATTTGTATTAAAAAGATCTGCTGAATTTATGAATCTGCAGATGTGTCTACAGGTACATTATGAAGTGATTTAAAATTGTTTTGTCTGATAAATGTAGGTGCAACCTACACTCAAACTTTTATTCATTTTACATGGGCACGAGCTAATATTTCAGCTCGATTGCCATGGCTACCAGTCATTCCTGACAGTGACAGCTTGGCCTAGACTTTTGGGTGGAACTATCTGAAAATAAGACACAAATAATCAACAGTTGATTAACTACTTTCAAATTTGGGTCAGAAGAAAATTCAGACCTACCACTAACAATTCTGGAACAAATAAGACTTAGAGACCTACAGACTACAGTACAGTGCAGTAAATTTTACTTTTACTTTTTCCCCTTTCACGAAGCTCATTTTGGGAGATAACATAAACAAAGACAATCTTTGGTCTAATGTTAGAGTGAACTGAAATGGAAAAGTTGGGCTCTAACGATTAGGGCCTTGTAAAATCTCCATTCCAGGCTACGTTTACATCTAGGTTAGGCCAACTGTCGGCTCGTTATCTAAGTAAGATGTAGACTTGATTTCAGGAAAGGGACTAACTTTGGTATAGACTTTAACTACTTAGGGCTTTCTTAGGCCATGACATGGCAAGTACAACTTGGTGCAAGCACATTTATGAGATAGTACTGCAAGAATGTGTATGTTTGTTCTTGACTTTAAAAGAGATACCGGTAGTCATTCTGTAAATCAATGATTACTAGTAACTGAGTGGGGAGGGGGTGCCTAGTCACTGCCTACTTGAAAGGCGCCTTAAGTTTTTTTTTTAAGTTAGAATATTATTGACACTATAACTAAGACCAATTATCAATGGAGTAGATCTTTGATATTTTAATGAGGTCTAAACCTTTTTATTTTTGTTTCAGGATGATGTTTTTCTTCAGTAAAATAAATGAAGGCAAATTCCCTGATAACTGAGACAAATTCAGAGAGAGGAAGGAGAACTACTGAGCTGCTGAATTTATGACAGGTAGGCTGTAAGAATAAGTTGTTGTTTGTATTCCCAGGTACTTCAAGGATGGCATTTGTTCATTCACATTTGTCCATCAATAATTTCATTTAATTGATTATGCACTCCACTTTTACCACAATGTACATGCAAGACCTTTTTAAGGTTTAACAGAAATAGGTTTCAATGTGTTTCCTTTCATTCTTTTCTCTTTTCATTCAACAGACATACTTGCAAGGACTATGAAGTTCTACTTAGCCTCTTCAATGAACCAGACTCCATCTGCTGTAACTGTGACTGCATGGGGATCAAAACCTTTGTATTATAATCCTCATAACATGAAGCTATGGTAACAAACAAGCAACCATTGATAAAAAGCCTGATATGTCCTTGTTGTGTGTGTGAACCACAAAGCAACCATCACTCATAAGGATATTTTTATGTACATCAGATGTTCATTGTTTCACTGGAAAAATTGTGATTTTGATTCATTTAAGAAATCTTGTTTTATAATGTGTTTTATAATATAGTGCAAGTCATGATATAACAGATTCCCTGCAAAAGAAACACGGCTAAAAAGTAGACTATGCTTTGTTTTAAAAAAATGGGAGAAGGTAATGTAACAAATACATAACATTTAATTCCAATAGTTTCGAGTAGCAGATTATGAGGCTATTGGAGCTTAATATTTGATTTTGACCTTCAATTTTATAATCGTATTCATCATGAATTACAATCTTTTCTGTTTTAAGAAAAATAAATAAATTGAACATAATTGTTGATATGTTATATACAATATTCCTTTCATATCTTTTGATTTTAAGTGTGCATATTGTTGGGTTCATTGAATTATACATGGAAACAGTCTTGAATAGAACAGTGGGAGAACAGAGCGAACGAGAGAGAGAGAGAGAGAGAGAGATATAGAGTAAAAGAGAAAGGGAACCAAATGAGAAAGAACAATTTAATGGTGAGAGAAATAAACAATGATGTGAGATGGTGTGTGTGTGAGAGAGAGAGAGAGATGGAGATAGGGAGAAAGAGTTGGGGGTGACAGTGCCCCTTTTTATATAGGAAAGTTCCCTTTTAACTTTGTAAGAAGTGCCCCTTTTTCCATAGGAAAAGTGCCCCTTCCCCTTTTCACCTCTGATAAGTGCCCCTTTAATTTTGACACGCGCCCCTTTTCCTTTGACAAGTTTTCATTTTCCTTTGCAATAAGTGCCCCTTTTCACTTTTGAGAAGTGCCCCTTCACCTCTGATAATTGCCCTATTTAAATCTGAGAGGTGCCCCTATTAACAAAATTATCGGTGCCCCTTTTATTTCAACAAATGCACATTTCCTTTATTATAAGTGCCTCTTTTTCATTCTCATAAGTGCCCCTTTTAAAATATGTTCAATGCCCCTTTTCAGGTGCGATATGTGACCCTTTTCATCTCTGATAATTTCCCTTTTAACAATGATACAATTCCAGCGAGTGCCCTTTTTGTTGGTGCTGCCCCCCTCTTTGGAAGTCGCTCCGCCGTCCCTGGACGTCATATTGCTCAAGTTGTCGAGGTGATGCATCCTCTCCACACTCAGCGCGCATCCATTGTTTTAGCCCATTGTCTTAGTGCATTGTGACGTCATATTGCTCAAGTTGTCGAGGTGATGCATCCTCTCCACACTGCGCGCATCCATTGTCTTAGTGCATTGTGACGTCGCAGCTTCGGTACTGAGCATGTGCAGAAACTGTAACCATGGTGAATGATCCATGGACTAAGTTAGGCCAGGTTTAAACCATGGATCAGTTAGGCCACCTTTCGAGAAATGAAAATGACTTAGGTCAGCGGCCTAAGTTAAGCCTGGCCTAACTAAACCACGGTTTAACTTAGGCCAGGTTTAACTTAGGCCGCTTTCGAGAATACCACCCAAGTTTAAGTCAGCAGTTTGCAAATTAAATGAAATAAACATAAAACCTCACTTTTATATCAGTAATATCAGTAACTGAAAGAAAAAAATACGGGCAATCTTGACAACATCGGACTACAAAAATGATGATAATAATGCATCCCGAAAGCGTCAAATCAGTAAATCGGCACATTTTGTAAAGTCATTAAGCATGCAGAAAGTGTTAACAACAAAAAGCGAACCAGTTATCACGGTGAGGCAAAATGGTCTTGTGGATAAAAGTGATCACTTCACAATGCAATGTACTCGGTTCGAGTCTCAGTTTCTCCTTTATATAAACCCATGTTATTTTTTTTTCTTCACTCCATAATATTGACTTGTCATCTCTTTTTTAAAGGGGACACCCCCCCCCCCCCCCTCAACAAAGAAAAAATAGCATGTAATACTCTTTCTTTAACAAGCGACTCTCTGAATTAGTCAGAAAACATCTTTTGCTACATCTACAACAATTAGTGTAAGTATGAAGAATACATGAAGATTAGCAATGTGACACTTTAGTCTAGTGGGTAGGCAATCGTCTGATAACTGGAAGGTATCGGGTTCGACCCCCAGCTGTTGCGTTTTTTTCTTTTGCTACATCTACAACAATAAGTATAAGTATGAAAAAAAAAGAGAGCACTATTTTTTTGTTTGGCCCTCGAAAATTTGAAAAATCCCCCCCCCCCCCCCCCCCACATTAATCGCCAGGGGGGTCCCATCTAGACAGCTAGCTGGCAATCGACAGCTAGCTGGCAATCGACAGCTAGCTGGCGGCGGTAGCGGGTAGCCCCAAAGCCATGTCTATTTAAAAACTGCATTCAAGAGCCTCTTATTGCTAGGTTTACAAATCAGACTACAGCCCCAGTCTAAAGTGCTTGTCCTCCCAGACAAGGACAAAGAGCCTCTTCGGAAGGTATCGGGTTCGACACCAGCTGTTGCTTTTTTTTTAATCTTTGAAAAAGAAAAACTGATGTCAAACCCATTTTGATCTCACTCAAAGTCCATATTTATTGCTATTCTCTTAATTGATCTATACAATGAGCTTGCAATTAACTTGTAAGCAAGGTAAAGTATTATATTTACGAAGTACAAGAAGGACAGGAATCCTGTTTTATCTATTTATCAAACATTATTACATTCAATACTTTTTCAGTCCCAATGAGAGAGAGAGAGAGAGAGAGAGAGAGAAAGAGAAAGAGAGCCAGAAAGAGACAAGTGAAGAGAACCCAATACACATCATCAGTGTAATAAAGTCTGATGATCTTAATCTACATACTTACTTCAAATATTTTGCCGGGCAGATATTATTATTTATAAAAACAAACCAATTTTGGAGTTTTATAATAAATATTATTGTTGTTGTTGTTGTTGATGTAAAACAATGAGAAAATAGGGACCTTTTGCGGGGGGGGGGGAGCAATGTAGAAAAAAACTACAGGGGAGCCTTGGGATTTTTATTTGGGGGGGGGGTGGGTATCGGCGCGGATTCAGGATTTCTTAGGGGGGCCCAAACTTGAAATCAATTTGAAATTTAATGTGCTGAAATAAAAAAAAAAATCGTGCCGGCCGATATTTCACTCAGTGGTAGAGGGGGAAGGGGGAGGGGGGGGGGGGTAGAGAGCACTATTTTTTTGTTTGGCCCTCGAAAATTTGAAAAATCCCCCCCCCCCCCCCCCACATTAATCGCCAGGGGGGTCCCATCTAGACAGCTAGCTGGCAATCGACAGCTAGCTGGCAATCCCAAAGCCATGTCCATTTAAAAACTGCATTGAAGAGCCTCTTATTGCTAGGTTTACAACGTTGTTTTACATTTGCAATTATAATTTCCTAGTTTTATTCACTCTCTACAGTCCCGTACTATCCCCTTTTCAGTCTGTAAACAACTTTGCAACACGAAAACAATGATGAACAGGGTTTTACTTCTCGTATAAATTTATTAGAAGTGCCCTATGTCATTTTGCACGAAGTGATACAAAGGGCCTTTCAAATTTAAGTCTATTGAAAGCATTCCCCCACCTAGCCTGTATGACCGAGCAGAATCATTTAGTGCTCAACAATAAAAAACCACAGTCTTGGCTAAAGAGGTCCATTATTTGTTTGTTTATTTAGTTATTTTATTTAATTGACATTGTACAGTACTATTAAATATCAGGTATATTGGATGCTCTGTTTTAAATACAGTCAAGATTGCCGAGCAATGAATTACATCCTGCTTCTTGTCCTCAAACCATATCTTTCTGGTTTTTAAAACGGTATCATTTGAATTTCCATTTCCAAGCATTATTTTGAACTGTCCCGAAATTGTTTTCCTTTCTTGAAATCAGACTACAGCCCCAGTCTAAAGTGCTTGTCCTCCCAGACAAGGACAAAGAGCCTCTTCGGTAGGTTTAGGGACAATGCATCAAAATAACGCGGTCATTGTTGCAATGTCAGGAATGCTATTATTACCTCCTCTTTGGTAATCCTCGCATTTGACCAAACAAAAGTCACTCAATGAAGGGAGGGTCAGGTTTGTTTTCAATTCACTAATATTATTGATGCCATGTCAGAAAGAGCTGAGTAGTTTGTTACGTAACTATTCAAAAATTGCAGGTGCAAGCTATTGAAAACAGAATCGAATAGCCAAGCTTCCCTATTCATTGGTGCCCTGTTATAGAATTCGTAGCATATACTGAATTGAATAGACCCGTGTTCTATTCATTATACTATGTGAGGGCAGTGGCCTCTTGTCATATCACTTTAAGTTTAAGTCAGCAGTTTGCAAATTAAATGAAATAAACATAAAACCTCACTTTTATATCAGTAATATCAGTAACTGAAAGAAAAAAATACGGGCAATCTTGACAACATCGGACTACAAAAATGATGATAATAATGCATCCCGAAAGCGTCAAATCAGTAAATCGGCACATTTTGTAAAGTCATTAAGCATGCAGAAAGTGTTAACAACAAAAAGCGAACCAGTTATCACGGTGAGGCAAAATGGTCTTGTGGATAAAAGTGATCACTTCACAATGCAATGTACTCGGTTCGAGTCTCAGTTTCTCCTTTATATAAACCCATGTTATTTTTTTTTCTTCACTCCATAATATTGACTTGTCATCTCTTTTTTAAAGGGGACACCCCCTCCCCCTCAACAAAGAAAAAATAGCATGTAATACTCTTTCTTTAACAAGCGACTCTCTGAATTAGTCAGAAAACATCTTTTGCTACATCTACAACAATTAGTGTAAGTATGAAGAATACATGAAGATTAGCAATGTGACACTTTAGTCTAGTGGGTAGGCAATCGTCTGATAACTGGAAGGTATCGGGTTCGACCCCCAGCTGTTGCGTTTTTTTCTTTTGCTACATCTACAACAATAAGTATAAGTATGAAAAAAAAGAGAGCACTATTTTTTTGTTTGGCCCTCGAAAATTTGAAAAATCCCCCCCCCCCCCACATTAATCGCCAGGGGGGTCCCATCTAGACAGCTAGCTGGCAATCGACAGCTAGCTGGCGGCGGTAGCGGGTAGCCCCAAAGCCATGTCTATTTAAAAACTGCATTCAAGAGCCTCTTATTGCTAGGTTTACAAATCAGACTACAGCCCCAGTCTAAAGTGCTTGTCCTCCCAGACAAGGACAAAGAGCCTCTTCGGAAGGTATCGGGTTCGACACCCAGCTGTTGCTTTTTTTTTAATCTTT